GTTGTGGTACACACACATACACACACATAGGAATACTACTCAGCCATTAAAAAGAATGAAGTAATGCCATTTGCAGCAACGTGGATGGACCTGGAGATCGCCACACTAAGTAAAGCCAGTCAAAGACAAACATATCATCTGTATGTGGAATTATTAAAAACTTACACAAAGGAGCTTATTTACAAAGCAGACTGTGGTTACGGGGCGGGGGGGGGTCTGTAGGTGCACCTGCTGGCACACCACAGATGGACATGGTCCTGCCGCACAGCCTATGAGCATCTATAATGAAAAGGTGCACGTGTGTAACTACATCACTACGCCGTACACCTGAAACACTGTAAATCAACTACTTCAATAAAAAATGTTTTAAAATGGAAAAAAGAAATAAAAAGATGATTTAAAAACCAGGGCCAACTCCTTTTTTCCCCAGCTTGATCAAATTACACTTGACAGAATTCTTAACATTTAAGGTGTAAAACGTGCCGACATACACTACGAACTTACTACAATCCAGTTCACTAGCTTTTCCATCACCTCAGATACCACTTCTTTTTAGTGCTGGGAGCACCTAAGACCTCCTCTAAGCAAACTTCAAGTTACGTGACACTCCACTATTCCCTCTACTCACTGCGCTGCACGTGAGGTCTCCAGAACTCACTCGTCTCTTACTGAAGGTCTGCACCCTCTGTATGACATCTCCCGGAGCCCCCAGCCCCAGGCAGTCACTCTTCTACATCTGCTTCCTTCGTGTCAGTTTCTTAGGTCCGGTACGGACGTTGAGATGCAGGGCTTGTCTCTGCCTGGCTTACCATCCTCCACTTTGTCACAAGTGGCAGGCAGGATTTCCTACTTTTTTAAGGCTGAGTAGTTCAGTTCACCCTCAGCCCTGCCGCCACCTGGGAGCACCCAGAGCCCAGGGTGCCATGTGGACAGCAGAAAGCACAACCTGCTGCTCAAGTGTAAGGATAAACACTGGTCGAAAACAAGCTTGAGGACAGCACACGAGGAAGACAAATGCGCAGGACGTCAGTTCCACGCGGACCTTACAAAAGCAGGAACAGTATCATGGTGGTCACCGTGGGCTGGGAGAACCGGGGAGGTGTCGTCCAAAGTGTACAGACCTGCAGCTGGAAAACGAATAAGTTATGGAAACTGGACGCCCAGTACCGTGATTACAGCCAACAAAACAGGATTTTATAACATTCAGAGATGCTAAGAGACTAGATCTTAAATGTTCTCACTGCATAAAAGGTGATTACATAATGTGACAGAGGTGTTAGCTAACTCACGTAGTAATCATACTGCAGTACATCAATGATTCAAATCAACCTGTCTCAACTCAATTACATCTCCATTTTTAAAAATAAAATTTCAGAAAGAAAATGTAACCTTACATGATGAGAGGGAGGGCCACACAGGGATCCTCGTGGGAAAGCGTAACACAGGACTCCAAAATTTTTTAATTTAACAAAACATATAAGCAGGCATAATTCTAAGTGTCCTAGAAACATTAACTCATTTAACTCAAATACTTCAGTAGAACAAAATAAAGATATCCTAAAATTGAATGTTTTGTTTTCTCAGCTTTTTTAAGACACAACTGACATAGAACATTGTACAAGTTTAGGGTGTACATCATGCACCTTAATTTCATTAAATTTTTTTTAAAACTACAACTGACCCTTGAGCAACGCAGCTTTGAGCTTCCCGGGTCCACCTGAGTGCAGATTTTCTCCTTCTTTCTTTCTTTTGCGTGTGTGTGGGGCGGGGGGGGGGGTGACTAGATTTGTTTCTTTTCTGAGGCGGCGCCGGGACTGCACCCAGGGCCTGGTGCACGCAGAGCACGCCCTCCACCACTTGAGCCGTGCCCTCTCCCTCGGATTTTCTCAGCGGACATGCTAGTAACTTTTTCAGATACTTGCCACAATTTGAAAAAACTCACAACTGTGCAGCCTAGAAATATTGAAAAAAATTAGGCACATTATGAACACAAAAGAGATAATGTAGATACCAGTCGATCCTCACATAGGCATAAGGTGAGTGATACTTAATATAAAACTAGTAACATCTTAGTCTTCTTACTGTTTTCAAACTTTGCTTCCAAATTATTACATCACCATACAGAATGTCTCTCCCTCCCATGTCAGCTTATCATCGCAAGGAAAAGTGTTTTTTTACATAACAATGTTTCCAATACTGTATTATAAGTAATTGTAATACTGTAAGCCATAAAAATGCTGTAGGATTCGCTCCTTAGTGTGCAGGCCAGGCTCTCTGAAGCCTCACAGCTATCACACTGTGCTGCCTCAATAGTCATTCACTGCTGCTTCGTTATCAGTGCGTGAATCATCACACCCATAAAGAGACGTGAATTTCTTTTCCACAGTATCTTTTCATTTTTGTTGTCTTGTGTTAACATCTACAGTGTTTTGTATCACATAAGACAATACTGATGTAGGTACTGACAGACAATTCACATTCTAAACAGATATTGTGGGGGGGAGGGTACAGCTCAGTGGTAGAGCCCATGCTTTTAGCAATGCACAAGGTCCTGGGTTCAATCCCCAGTACCTCCGTCAAAATAAATAAATAACCTAATTACCTTCCCCGCCTAAAAAAAAATTAAAATACAGATAAACTAAAAAAAAATTTTTTAACTGTGTAAAAACGGTATCAGTTAAGTACAAAAATGTATTTCTCTTTATAATTTTAATTTTTTTCTACCTTTCTCTATGGTAAGAATACCATGTAATAAACACATAAAATACGTGTTCATCAACCATGTTAGGAGTAAGGCTTCTGGTCAACAGTAGGCTCTAAGTTAAGTTTTCGAGGAGTCAAAAGTCATAATTTTCAACTGTGGGGGGGTCAGCGCCCCTAACCTCATTGTTCAAGGGTCAGCTGTACACTGTCTTGAGACAAACTCATGGGCAGGAAAGATGCACGAGGCGAACACTAAGTGTGTGCACAGCAGCATGACTCTCAGGAGGCATGCACTGGAGGAAGAGCATCTTCAGGAACAGTAACTTCACGAGGATAAAGCACAGAATTCAAAAACTAGCGTGGCCTCAAAACAGCCCGACCAGCAACAGCATTACAACATAAAAGGAAGCGTGCAGGACGCCAGCGGCTGGGGGGGACGGGGGTGGGGAGTCACTGCTTTACGAACATAGTTTCAAAGCGGGAGGGCAGAAATGTTCTGGAGACGACGGTGGTGATAAACACACAACAGTGTGAATATGATGCCACTGAACTGTTCACTTAAAAATAAGGTGCTGTTATGCAGAAACACGGCACATTAGATTTAGAAGCACTTTTTATATATGTTTTCTTTTTATACATTATGTATCTGAAATTGTATATTACGCTGTTTTTATTTAAAAAAATACTTTTTAAAAAACACACCCACAATCGTATCATGAAGCAGAGAAAAAGTTAACTGGTAAGATTTGAGCACATTTAACAAGCTTGATGTAATGGACGTTGAAATAGGGCCCCACAGCGGACATGAGAAAATACCAAGGCCATGTGGTCTGGCATGCTTAACACTCACGCTTAGAAGGCTTACAAAAACTATGGAATTAAGAGAAAAATCAATTATGACAAACCACAAAGAAATAGCTGCGAAAACAACACTTTCTTCTTTTTTGAGAATGCCCCTGGGTCGAAGAAATCATAAAGGTATTAGGATATATTTAGATGTACAAGAACTACGTATCAATTTCATCAACTGACCACAGTGAAATTCAGAACCTCAAATACATTAATAAAAGTTCTAGATGGCAGAAGGTTAAGAACTCAGAACAGGCTACAAGATGTGCCATCTTTACAACATACAAGTATATGAATGTAAAAATACGTATCTTTGTCAAACAGAATCTCAATTTTTTAAAATTACAAATTAGGGATAAAATATGGTTACTATTTTCTTGTAATTCCTCCCACTTCACGTTAAAATCCTATCAGCTGTGACAGATACGCAACAGATAACCAAAACGCTAACTGGAGAACATACTCTGGGTACACGGTTGCTCAATGCACAGCTTTTCTCAACTGTGTTCAGGTATGTTCAACATAAAGTCCCGGAGAATCTGTTCTGCACACAACCAGTTATAGGAGCGAGCACCCAGTTACAGAAGGTTTCTCTGTTGATAATTAGAAAATGCGAAGCACAGTGGTTGGCTGGTGAGAGCAGCAAGTTCAGTCTGGAAATCACTAGGCACAGAAGAGCTGGCCGGCAGGAACACAGCAACCTCGGATCTTCTGGAACTAAACTCTTGACCATGAGCCGCTCAAAAAGCAGCATCCCTTCACTGGGACTTCCAAGGGCTGTAACCACCTACCCAAGACCAACCCCTTTCACTCTGCAGCCCCAGGACTGCCGCGTGGGTCTGCAGGGACGCGACGCGCGGGGATTACTGGGGACACCAGCTCACCGCCACCCACGGAACCAGGGGAGGATCTCCCCTTTCCTAACAGCTGAACCACTGCCTGAGCCACGCGTGACCAGAGGTCATCCAGTGTGTCCGATGGCACTGCTCAGACATCTCTGCTACCAGTTCGCAGCTCACGCGTTTTGTCTCGTGTCCGCAGTAAGGTGCCAGCGTCTGGGCGGATGACGACGACGGTGAGGAGGGAGATCCTCGGGGCAGGCAGTGCCAGCACAGGAAGGTGGGCTTAGACTCCAGTGGCCTGCCTGCCAAGCGGAGTGCCGAGACGACTTACTTAACCTCCTCGAACACCCCCTGGAAGGCTGATCTATCCCCCAGAAGGGTCTCTGGGACTGAGGGCGCGCAAGAGCACCATCAATTAACAGCGCCCGGGATACGAGCAGCACTCAAGTGTTGGCTGTTTCTCTCTCCTCCTAAAATGGAGACTACCCCACGAAGAAAGTTCAAATGAGCCAATTGTCCAAGGAAGAGCCCCAAACCTCACCATCCAAGGCCCCTTCTGTAGAACTCTGGACACACACCACCTCCCTACTCCCTCAGTCAGTCCTGTCCAGCTCCCACCCCTGCACCAGAAGCTTACTCGGCCTTAAGGTCAAGAGGGGAAAAGCCTCCCCCAGTAGTATCCATGCACTCAGGGCTCATGTGTCTGACTCCCCAGACCCTAAACGCACGAGGGCTTTCCAGTCACATGGCCCGCGGTTTGCCTGCTCCCCTCGGTCAGCCGTGAGCATCAAGGAGGAGAGCAACGGGCCTCGAAGCCCTTCTCTCCCCCTGTGCCTCTGTGCTTCTGTCGCTCTCATTCAAATACCGTTGATGCAGCAGTGATTCCCTAATTTTAGGTCCCACTTTGGCGCTTGAGACACAAGTGACAGATGGCTACCTGACGTGGCCATCTGGATGCCTGACAAACATCCCAAATAGAACATGACCCAATGCAGCTGCCGCCCGCCCCACTCCCACACCTGGTTTCTCCCTAGTAAATTCTACCCCGTGCCCAAACTGCTAGGTGGGAAACTGTCCCCAGCAGTGATCGACACTGGTACACCCACATACACTCAACTAACCAACCCAGAGCTCTGCCTCATTTCTCTGCAGAACAGCTCAGTCCCGCACTCTTCTCTCGTCATCCGCACCAGACACCCCACCCTGAGACACCGCCAGCCTCTCCTCTCACAGCCAAGGGAACACATCACAACAGACACAACACCCAACCCGGCGCCAGACCAGAGCGGCTCTCAAGGACGCCATCAGCTCCACTGGGGATCGCTGCCCTGGCTGCTTCGAGGTCCAAGGCAGGGAAGGCACAAGATGCGCCGAGGGCACACGCCAAGCAAGCAGAGATGCTAGCAAGAGGTACAGGCCTAGGCCTGGAAACCGAGGGAAGACCATGCGGCTGTGCCAGGGTGGAGGGGCAGGAGTACCTGACAGCTACGTGCCACGTGGGCTCCTGGACTGGTGTCTGGAGCAGGAAAAGAATGCCAGGGGAAAACTGGTGAGATGTGAATGAAGTCTGTAGTTAACAGGACCGTACCGATACTACTTACTTAGTTTTGAGAAACACAATTTAGTTACATGCATTATACTAATGACAGCTGGGTAAGAAGCAGGCCAGCAGACTCTTTACAACTGTTCTGTAAATACAAAATGGTTTCAAAATAAAGTTACCTTCACTTATTTTTTAAGTCAAAAAGAGGAGTACAGCCATGTCAAAAGGGTATCGGAACACCCCTGATGAAGCCCCACAGACCAGTGGGCACTCTGGGTGGCCATGCACCTTTTTCTTGCCCGTTTTACTGAAAACAACCCGCCACAGAGCGCGCTCGGTTACGGGTACACACAGCACGCAGCAATCCCCGGTGAGCTTAGTGCCTATCACATCACAGACACAGAACAAGACAGAGGGCCTCTCCTTGCGATGAGGACCCAGGAGCTACCCTCCACTTTCACGTGTGAACACACAGCGGCATCAGTCGCACTTCCCAGGACGCACACTGCTCCCAGCACTCGCTCATCTCGTAACTGGAGGGACCGACGGGCATGGCGCGCACATGGACCAGCACCACCAGCACCACCACCACCACCACCGAGCATTTACATCACCGCACTGTCTCTCCTGTGCAGACTGCCCCTGTACCCTGACAGCTGTTGAGCCAACACTCTTTTTACAGAATTCCAGCAGACAAATGCAGGAGAAATGTGAGCACTGGAAAACTCTCATCCTGAAACCCCGACTCTGCGGCTCTCAGAGCACTGACGTGACTGGCAGCGTCCGCACCCTCGTTAAACAAAAAGGGCCTTGACAGAAATCACATAAGCCTTGCCGCAGAAAGCACCGCCACCGCGTAAGCACTAACCTGTCCCCACAGTCGCTGCTGAACCCACTCCCGGGAGCAGCCCGCAGTCTGGTGGCCCT